TACAATGCTACTGGATGTAGTTTTATCATGTTTTGCTCCATTGAGTCAGTTCCCTCTGACACCAAATACTGGTTTTCACATCTTTTCCCATTGTGGTAGAATTACCTTGTGGGCCAAGCTGGAGATTGGGCTGGAAGAGACTAGACAAGAATGTCACACAAACTACTCATAGCTGAAGTTCAGTACCTTTTTATGAATAACTCTTTTTTAGTGTGGTATATGACTTGGATTGATTTTCAGAGCCTCAGTGGATTGTCTTGAACAATTTTATCCAGTTTTATTATTACTATTTTTTGGGAAAGGATTGCTGAGTTCCTCGCTTCACCATATGGAAAGACCTACCTCTGCATTGATCATTTTAAATAACTTCTCACCTGACTCTGAAGCCAAAATTGAAAAATCGCTCAGTTAGGGTATGATTACTGATTTCCTTTCATTCAGTAAACAATTATTGAACACTCTCAGGTACTGGATACAGTGCTAAAAATACAAATTAATGCAGAGCATTCCCTTCTTGCTTTTATAGGTAGTGGGAAAGATAGAGGGGAAACCAGTGATTCAATATTACTATGTATATATAGGGATGCTTGATACTGAAATTGTGAACAGATTCAGCAAAAGACAATATCCACAACTCATTATTTTGCTGAAACAAATTGCTAGTTTTTCAAAATATTTCCAGAAAGCAAATATCCATTAAGCAGATTCATACTTACTCTAAGTATAAATATAATTACTTAACCTGGGGATTCTATGACAATTTCCCAAAATTAGATGGTAATTGCAAACATAACTTCAAGGAACCAGCAGTTTACTTTGTGTGAAATTCAATGAATTTTATGCTTATTTTCAATTGAACTTTGATAATTTCATAACCTTAATTTAAGTGAATAAAATCAGCAATAGCAAATTAACTTCAAAGTTGCTATGGACATTGTGTTATGGTATCCAAAGTAAGGAACCCATAAAGGCATAATCATGAAAGTGTAGGAAGAAATAATAGCACTTGTAACTTGTTAATTGAATTTGTTTTTTAATTTTCTATTGAATGACTATTTTATAAAGTAAGAATACTTATTTGCTAGTATACCCACAGAATTTATAAATAAATATATATGGATGTGTGTATATGTATATATATATATATAGAGAGAGAGAGAGATATCATGTCCTCAATGAACTGAAATTCAAGAAGAGATAGGTATTAATCCTACTTTAGTTACCAACTTTGTGTGTGAACAATGGCAAATTGAACAAGGGCAAGTTGTCATGACTCTCCAGCTTTGGTTTCCACATTGATAAAATGAGGAACCTATGTAAATATCCCTGAGATCTGTTCCAGTTCTGAGATTCTATAATTAATTTTGTTCTTGCTTTTCTTGTCAAGAATAATTTTGAAGCCATAAAAGCAAAAGATTACCTCTTGTTGTGTGGTGCAGTACTTGATTTAGTTATGGATATAAGCCCTTCTCTGAGTTCCTGAAATATTTCCAGAGAGAGTTTTCTGTACCTTGGCTACATTTGTTTGGTGCTGCTGGTCATCATATGGTGATATCAGACACACCCATATTACTTTAAATTTTGCTAACTTGAGGCATTATAGCAGAGGACATGTCATAATTAGTAGCAGGGCACAAAAGTGTGTACCTAGACACAGTTACAAATGCATGGGTGCATATTTCAAACTCCGTTCCTTAAAACTTTGTGTTTTTCTGAATCTGTTTTGTTTTCTCGTTTTAATAAATGACTTATATATTACTAAATACAGACATTTCCCAACTTATGATGTTTTGACTTAATGATTTTTCAAGTTCACAGTGGTGCAAAAGTGGTATGTATTCTGTAGAAATTAGCTTAGATTGAAACCAGGGTAGGTGTATTAAATGCATTTTCAACTTACAATATCTTCAGTTTCCAAATGATTTATCAGAATGTAACCCCATTAGAAGTCCAGTAAGATCTCTCTTGCTATAGATTTTAACAGCTAATCCTGCACATACTCCATTTTCATTAGGATACAACACTTGAAAAAACATCAGAGAACATAACAAATATTTGGGTTTTTTGAAATAATTTGAATTTTCTAGATAATATGTAACACATAATATCATAATGCTTTCTATGAAGTCTTTATTCCCAAGTGAAATATGAAAAAGGAACTGAAGATTGTGCCATGACATGAAGCTCAACTGTTAAAAACAGCTGCCAGATTTAACTGTGAGAATGAAATCATTGCATTCTGGCACGCACTGTGTAATAAGTACATCATTTTAAAGATTTATCCAAAAGGTGGGGCCTCCCCGGTGGCGCAGCGGTTGAGCGCTGGGTTGCGAAGCCTCTGCGGCCTCTGCGGCGCCGGTTCGATCCCCGGCTGCTCCCCAGCCACCGCAGGAGGGTCCCACATGGCGCGCAGATCTCTCCTGCCGCCCGCTGCTCCCCTCAGCAGTGTACCTCGGTCCCTCTACCTGCTCTGCTCCCCGCTCTGGCTCTGGTGAATTCTCTCACCCTCCCGCGCTTCTGACTGTACCCAGTGCATATATAAACAAACAAACAAATAAATAAATAAATAAAAATTCATGCCTCTAAAAAAAAAAAAAAAAGATTTATCCAAAAGGAGTATGACAGAAAAAGAAATAACACAACAGAATGACAAATATTTTGATGCAAATAGACATAGATAATATGAGTTCATGAGACTGTGACTATAAACACTAGAATGATAGTAAAGAGAAAACAGCAAAAAAAGGGAAAGAAATTAGAAAATTCAAAGGTTCTATAAATAGAAAAAGACAGACTTTTAAACTCCTTAATAATTTTACTTTGTATAGTAATGAATAAAGGAGTGAAGGAAAATACCATTTTAAACTTAGACCTGTATAGCACAGCCTGTACTTTGTAACTTGCTAGGGGTATAAAATGCAGTCATTTTACCTCTGCCTGGAACAGTCAGAGAGGAACAAATTCCATGATGGCTTCCAACTGGAAACTAATCCACAAGCCTGAATTCAAGCCTCTAACCTTTATCATAGAATAAAAGCTAGTGCTCACCTTGCTGGAGGGATAACTCGGGGGGCAGTTTGAGGCTTGCCATTTCCCTGTTACCCGTCTCAAGACCAAAGGTAGTAGTGGCACCCTATTCCACCAGGCCCGTCGACATGGCACCCCTGTCCTTCCCAGAAGCACTTACAGTTCTGGGCTACCTGTTTAGCAGAGGAAAAGGGTATTTACAATAAAATGTGCATCTATTTTGTACTTAAAATTCACTTAAATATGTGTATGTTTGGCCTGTCTTCTGCTTTCAATTTAGGTAATTTCTTCTACTTTTCCAAATGTTTTTTAAAGATTATGAAATGATCAAGGTTTAGAAGGTTTTCTGCTTCAACTTGGCAGCTGGTTTTTCCCATGCTATACCAATCACATGCTTCACTTTTTCTTCAAAAATTTTTTACACAAAAGGCCTCTTGAATATCAACCTTTAATTGTAGAATCATTCCAAATCTCAGAAAAATGACTAAGCCCAAGCAGAGAGTTTCCATACAGCCCCTTCTTGTAAACATCTCTCATTTCAGGTAGACCGGGAGATATTAAGTTCACAGACTTACTTCAGAGAGTTCATGAAATCCTGAAGTGTAGGCCAAATTACATCTTTGTATGAAATACATTTCCTTTCTTTTAAGAACTCTATAGATTAAGATTGATCTTTTAATTTCATCAACACTTTTTCTCTAGGTACAATCTCTGCCTTTGTATTTTCCACCCTGTTAATACTATTTTCAGTTAATTGGAACCTCACTATCTCCAAGTATACATTTGCACCAATGTATACAGATTTCTGAGTACAACAGACCTGACCAAAAATTTCTTTGTCACACTCTTGTGATTCTCTAAGTCACTTGACACTGTATATTTGAATAAAATATATTATTTCGGGCCTCCCCAGTGGTGCAGCAGATTAAGTGCAGCACTGTGAAGCTGTCCACAGTCTCTGCAGAGTGGGTTCGATTCCTGACCAGCCAGGGAGATAACCACATGGTGAGGCAGAACTCTCCTGTCTCGCTTGCTGCTCCCCTCAGCAGTGCTCTCAGTCTGTCTGCCTGTTCTGCTCCTCACTCTGTCTCTGGTGAATTTTCTTTTTTTCAAAGATTTATTTATTTTTATACAAGAACCGGGGTACAGCAGATGCGCGGGAGGGTGAGAGGATTCACTGGAGACAGAGCAGGGAACAGAACAGGCAGACGGACCGAAGACACTGCTGAGGGGAACAGCGGGCAAGACAGGAAAGGTCTGCTTCGCTATGTGGGATCCTCGCCGGCCAAGATCGAACCCGCGCTGCAGAGGCAGTGGACAGCATCACAGTGAGGCGCTCAACCACCTGCGCCACCAGGGAGGCCTACTGGTGAATCTTCTCACCCTCCCGCACCTCTGGCCTGTACCCCAGCTCTTATATAAATAAATAAAAAAAAATATATATTATTTCTCTTGTTGGATCAGCCCAGTGTTCCCTCTCCAGAGGAGTTAGTTTTCATTGTGTGAAGCCCTCCAAGTTGAATCTTGGAGCCCTTGCTCAATATCACCTAGACTCCCTGCTGAAACTGCAGAATCATAGGCCTGACTAGAAAACTTTACAATTTTTTCCAATTTGGATTTGGATATATAATGTATGCAAACTATTTATATGAACTGCCAAAGTTCTGATTACTAACTTAACAGCAAAGAGTATTTGGAACTATTATAAAAGCAAGGCTATTTTCCCCTTGAAACTTGAAGGGGGAAAACCCATGAAATGGCTTTAGACCAATTTTTCTTTTGTGTCTATGTAAAGAGCATTTTGTGAGGTCTTTGTCACTCCGCTGCAATTCTCAAGATAAAAGATAATTATAGCATTAGAAGCCTAGGATTCTATGAAGCCTTACCCAAATTAAAACTTCTTCTTATAAGCATTTTGAATATTTTAAGTGCATCTTTTTGGTTATTACCTAATATTAAGGCTTTTGTTTCAGACTTACAGATTCCAGTTTGATGTTAGAAGATTATTCGTCCAAGCTTAGTTCCCAAACAAAGAGAGCCAAGAAAAGCCTCCTCTCTGGGGAGGAGAAGGAAAATCTTCCAAGTGACTATCTTGTGCCTATTTTCTCAGGACGGTGCGTATGCGTTCCATTCTTAGTTTTGGTTGTTGGGATGTAGAGAGTAAAGGTTGCCATGTAATCATGACACTAGCAACTAACATTTACTGGGCACTTACCACATACTGGCTGAGAAAGGTCTAAGGAACATTGGAACCTTGGAATGGTTCACTGAGGTAGATGTGTTTATTGTGAAAGTCTGCCCTCATGTAGTGTGGTTACATGACAAAAGAGAATAATTAGGGGCCTCCTCTGGTGGCGCAGCGGTTGAGCGCTGGGCTACAAGGCTGCCCGCAGCCTCTGCAACACCGGTTCGTTCGCGGCCGCTGGCAAGGGTCCCACAAAAGAAGAAAAAAGAAAAAAAAGAATGATTAGGAAACTTAATTTTAATTATGTAACTAGTTGAAATTAAGTAACTAGTAAGTGTTGGATGCTAGTGATTGGACACTATATATAGTGAGTATTGACAGAATAGAAAGTTCAAAATTATAAAATATAAAGTAAACTAAAAAAAAAAAGAGATGATAGGTTTAGGTAGATGGAAACTATCTTGGCTGACAATATGGTTTTAATTATTCATCTGGACCAAAAAAAAGCCTTAGATAACATAGACTACAAAGAATTGGATCATAATTTGGATGCTTGGCTTATATTTGTTTGATGTGAAATAGGTTGCTATTTATTTTGAACGAAGCTTCAAACAAAATAACCACTAAGTCACAAGTCTATTAATAACAAATTTCTGTATTTATAGTGTAAGTATTTTCTTACCATTAATAATATTCAAAGGACTCTTGGGAAAAAAAAAACAAACTTGTCTGAAACAACAAAAGTTTAAGGGAAATTTCTGAATCTTCCCTGTTTATTTTCCCTTGAATAGAGAATTATTCACAGAGCTAAGGTAATACTCAAAATGAGGTTATCCTCTCAGTGCAAATGCCATTAGGAAGCTCATAGGCACTATTGTGGTTGCAAGTTTTTTGCATGACCTACTTTTGTTTCCCTGTGTTTTTCTTCCTGTTCTTCTCTGAACGTTTCTTTTGGAAATGTTTCAGAGACTAATGTCATAATTGGTTTGAACCCATTTAGGAAGGTAAGGGAATAAGTTATATTCTATTTTCAACTTGATATCTTTGTGATCTCTGAGTTTTTAAAATGAACTTTCCAGAGAAACATGCTTATATCACTAAGTATCCTTGTCCAGATTTAGCTTTTTCACCTTTAGTTTAATATGTACTCATACTGCATATAGGAAATGGCAAGACTAGAACAGCAAAGTACTTTTTTCTTTTTTCCCACTATGCTCTTTAAACAAACAAACATCAAGTTAGCTTAACCTGTACGGCATGTCTCTCTATCTGTATAGGCACAAAATGAAACTTCTCACTTTCAGTGTTTTCCTCATACCCTACCAAATTATTTTTTCTCCTCCAGGACAGTCTCAAGAAATGATGACTTGCAAAATAAGCTAGATAAGAGAAAATGTAAATAAAATTTATCTTGTAGGTTTTATTTCCAGTACTTTATTTTTATATGGAATTATTCCTTTATTCTATTACTATGTTTAAAAATAACAATTCATAATATGTTGACAGTATTAACAATGGAAGCGGTTGGGAAAGAAATGAGTATTATAGCGCACCTACCATACCGGGCACATTATATAAATGATTTTGTTAAGTCCTCAATATAGCCATGGAGAGGTATTAGCTTTGTTAATTTTTATACAAGGAAATCAAGGCTCAGTGACTTGCTGAAAGTCACATAACTGGTAGCAGCAGAACTGACAGCCCTTCGAGAATTTCTGATGCAACTTACATGCACTAGCAATTATAGTTTATTTTTGGGAAATACCATTTCTTCTGGATAACACTTGAAAAGTCCAATTCTAACACTCTGACAAGTTGTGTCAGCAACGAGTTTTGAGTTCAGGCCATCAGAGGTGGCCTTAGAGAGTCAAAGGACTACAGAATATTGGGAAGGTTTTTAACTTAGTTTGAATTTGTAGTAGAGTATTCTGGTCAGCATGTCAGCAACACATTCTCACTCTTGTACCCAGATTACACATGACATAATTACCCCTGAAATACACCTATTTCCTTATGAGTCCTGCTATCCTGGGTAAAAAAATATTTTTAAGTGTACTTGAGTTCTCATGTGAAATAGTTTTTCAAGGTCAAGCTTATTTGTAAATTGAAAAAATAAGACTATGACTTTATTCAGCTCTCTATAGCTATGTCAGTCAGCATGTCCATTGTTAGAGGTAATATAAGTTTAAAGTTAAAGTTCTCTTACATTTATCTGAACTCAGGGCAAGACCAGCACTGAATATAATTTATTAGTAATTTTAATTTAAAGTGCATTTCAAAATTCTTTATTATGTATTAACATCTGTAGATAATTCAGTGTAAATTATCATGATGGTTTGCTGTGTATTCACTCATTAATTCATTCACTTCCTATCTCATTTCAAAAAGGAAAAATGGAGGTAATTATATCTGGACACTAAGCTAAAATTGTTTTATCTTCTTTTTTATCCCTTTAAGTTAGAGTGACTATATTACCGACTTCCCTAGTAGACTACTTTATTCATATTTGAAGAGATAAAGAAAAAAATTAAATCTTATTTACCAAATATTTTAGTAATGTTCCATGAGAAACTCCAAATTTGGGCAAATGTTGAATCCTATTTACCAAACTACAAGTATTCAGATGCCAGGAATTTGTAAACACAATGACACAAGGCTTAAAATTTAAAGTAATGATCTTTATAAGAAAAGCAAATGAAGGGCCTTCCTGTGGCACAAGGGTTTAAGTCTCAGTACTATGAAGCAATCGCAGCCATTGCAGCAAGAGTCTGATCCCTGGCCAGGAAACTGACCCAAATGGCCCAGCAGACCTCTCCTGTCTTGCCCACTGCTCCCCTCAGCAGTGTATTTCAGTCAGTTCACCTGTTCTACTCCCCACTCTGTCTCTGGTGACTCCTCTCACCCTCCCCGCAGCTCTGGCCTGCACCCCAGCTCTTGTACACATAAATGAATAAAACTTTTTTTAAAAAGAAAAGTATGCAAATGTAAAATTCTGCTGTAAGAGGTGGAAGAACTCTCAATTTTAAGAGAATCTTCATAATCAAACTCCCTCATTGAAGCATAAAATGGGGTCAACATCAAAGTTATTGAAGGTTAAAAATAAAAATATGATTAATAATATGTCACAGCACAAAAAAAGAGAGTCAATTCTTTCCCTCAGGGATATGTAGAAACACACACAAAAATATTAAATACAAACAAAGAGACACATATATACACATACACATGACCTTTATTGTCTTTTTTTTTTTTAAGATTTTATTTATTTATACAAGCACTGGGGCACAGGCCAGGGGTGCGGGAGGGTGAGAGAATCCACCAGAGACAGAGCAGGGAGCAGAACAGGCAGAAGGATGGAAATACACCATTGAGGGGAGCAGAGGGCGAGACAGGAGAGGTCTGCCACGTCATGTGGGAATCTCCCTGGCCGGGCCAGGAATCGAACTGGCGCTGCAGAGGCTGTGGACAGCTGCACAGCGCTGCGCTGCACCCGCTGTGCCACCGGGGAGGCCTGACCTTTATTGTGTTAGAAAGAAAACCAGTATGCATAAAGATCTGAAGTAAATTTAGAATTTACTTATACATGCGACAGTTCTGGGCAATGCATTACAGCAGCCGAGTTATAGGATCCAAACCATGCACACAGCAATTAATAGGGATCCCAGGCACACAAATATATCTCATTTTACACCGTCATCTTTTCTGGAAGGAAGTCATAGCTAAATCTTTTGTTATAGATGAAATCATATTTAAACATGCTAAGAGAACCAATAAAATGAACTTGAATAGGTTTTCTAGCTTCCCTGAGTCTTCTTCATATATACCTAAAATAGAAATGATACAGTTTACCTCATAGGGTTTTTGTGGGACTAAAATGACATAATTTATATAGAAGGCACTTGGCGAAGCACCAGAATCATGATAGGTATTACTGTTGTTATAATCTTTTGTTAACGTGAATATTACTTCCATATGTGAAGAGTTAGCTCCTAATTTACCAGGTTTTTCTGTCAGCTTTTTTGGGGGCACGGTACACAATGTCTGAGGTGTGGTACTTTGAACTTAGTAACAACATTAGACAGTCTTAGCATTGCCATTTACAATACCTGTAATTTGCTGTTATTGTGTGTTAGCCAAGTGCATGTTAGTGGAATTACAGACACAGAAGAAGAAAGAATTAAAGAAGCTGCTGCTTATATAGCCCAGAGGAATCTTCTTGCCAGTGAACAAGGGATCACAACAACCAAACAGTCCAAGGTATCCAAACAGTCTGCATCCACTCTTCACCAGGAGGAAGTATCTGAGAAGAAGTCCAGGAAAGCTGCGGTTCGAGAAAGGGCAGATCGCTTGTCACTGAGAAAAACTGTAAGAGGAGACAATTTAATGTAACTTAACAAAAATAACAGTGTGTGTGTGTGTGTGTGTGTGTGTGTGTGTAGATATAGATGGAGCTATTTTTTTCTTTTTTAATATCAATAATCAATTTATTTTTAATATATATTTTACATCATTGTTCATTTTTGTACAATGTTTGATTTCTTCTCTCAGGTGTAGTCCCCATAAAATTCCCAAGTTACCCGTAAACCATCACCATAGTCCCTTTATGCTCTTCCCTCCCATTTTAATCCCTGCCCCTCCCCCTCTTCTCTAAATATTTCCAATTTATAGTTTGCCTGCTAGTTCTGTCTTCTTTTTTTTCCTGACCCTCTATTTGGCTTCCCTATGTTCCTCCTATAAGTGAAACCATCTGATATTTTTCTTTTTCCTTCTGTCTTATTTCACTGAGCATAATCCCTTCTAGCTCAAATGGAGTGATTTCTAATGAAGAAACTGGTACTCTTGTGGAGAAACAGAACTAAAGAAAATCAGAAATACATTAAAATGTATAAGCCAAAGAAAGACAAATATAACTGTTTTAAATTCCAAGAAAGTTTAGGTTCTGCAGTAATTGAGACTCTAGAAAACCAAAAAAAAAAAAAAAAAAAAAAAATCCACCTTACGGCAGTAATAGTCTAAGCTTCATCTTAGAATATTAAAAATTAAATGATGTGCTTATTTTAAAACGGAATGGGGGATACATTTAATTTAAATACAAAAGTAAGACAAACAAATGGAAAAATGATAATTTGGTTTCTACTTTTTATTTTAGTAGCACAGTTTATTTTGATTTCTTAATATTTTGATATATATTTTTTTCAGTTAGAAGAAATCGAGACATTTCATAAAAAGTTGAATGAAGATAGTCTTCTCCATGCTCCTGAGTTTGTCATTAAGCCTCGTTCCCATACTGTTTGGGAGAAAGAAAGAGTAAAATTACACTGCTCTGTATCTGGCTGGCCAGAACCTCGTGTCACATGGTATGTTATCTTTATAAAATCTACTGGGCAGAATCTATTACATAAAATTAATATTACCTCTTGTGAATACATTCAGCATTGTAAATATGGAAGGGTCAATGAAAATATCTACAAATCTATATAGATTTTTAATAGTGAAGAAAGGATATATAAAATATAGATGTTTATGTACTGAAAGAAAGGGCAGTCTTGGTACATTATATTTTGTAATCTTGTTGTATAAATGGGTGTTTAAAGTGTCAAAATTTAGTTTGCATATTTATACAAAGAAAATATGTCTATAACTACTATGGGCCATAAAAATTAAATTAAAATTTTGTTCTATTACAATATAGTTGCCTTTTTGCAACCAGAAGCTATAGTGTCATTTTTTTTTAAGATTTTTATTTATTTATACAAGAACTGGGGTACAGGCCAGAGGCGTGGGAGGGTGAGAGGATTCACCAGAGACAGAGAGAGAAGCAGAACAGGCAGACGGACAGAAGACACTGTTGAGGGGAGCAGCGGGCGAGGCAGGGGAGATCTGCCATGCCTTGTGGGCATCTCCCTGGCCGGCCAGGAATTGAACCCGCACTGCAGAGGCTGTGGACAGCTTCACAGTGCTGCGCTCAACCCGCTGTGCCACCAGGGAGGCCCTATATTGCCATTTTAAAAATAATTAAAACCTGAATATTTACATCTCTGCTTCTCATGTGAGTTGAGATGTCAATATGTTTTCTTAAACCAAACAAAAGCGGTAATTGGATGGGAGATATTACTCAATATGAGGCCTTAAGAAATCTTCTTTTCATCAAGATTGGCACATTTTTTCCTCCCAATTGTCAATGATTTTGTGATTCCCAAACTTAGAACTTTCCTGTTAAAGGTCATGAATGTCTGCCACAGAGAACAGAAGTGTGAAAATGATTAAACCGACTTAAAATATGATTGATTCTCTGATGTGGGTATTTTGCACGCTGTTTCATTGTCCTCTAAAGTGTTGGTAAATGCACCCTGTGTCACAGTGTAAACATGACATGGAATGACGCTATCACCCTTAAAGCACCTGACACCCTCTCCTATACATCCCCATATTTCTAATGCTGGTCAGATACCTGGCTAGCACAATCAAAGGTAGCTGAGATCATAAACCCATTACTTGTCTAAGGTTATTCTTAAGGAAGAGGTGGTAAGTTGTTGTTTGCTTGTTTTGTTTTTGTAATTCACCTAAGATGTTGATCTACCTGTTGTAATATTGGATTTATTTACAATTTTTCTTATATGTAAATTCTTTCCAGTGTTCTTGAGTATGAAAACTAAAGCCAAATTAGTATTATCAAGGCAAATATAGTACACAAGAGAAATATAGGAATATAATTCAATGAAAATGAAATTCTACAAAATTTATAAGCTTTAAAGAGTAAAATAATACTATCGAACATGAGGAATCAACTCACATTTGTTCCACCTTTTTTTTTTAAAGTTTTTTTTTAAAGATTTATTTATTTATGTATACAAGAGGTGGGGTACAGGCCAGAGGTGTGGGGGGTGAGAGGATTCACCAGAGACAGAGTGGGGAGCAGAACAGGCAGATCTACTGAAATACACTGCTGAGGGGAGCAGCGGGCAAGACAGGAGAGGTCTGCTGCGCCATGTGGGTAGCTCCCTGGCCAGCCGGGGATTGAGGTTGCGGATTGCTTCATAGTGTGGTGCTTAACCCCTTGCGCCACCAGGGAGGCCCTGTTCCACCTTTTTTTATGACTATAGAGTCAGGATATTTCCTCTTGAAAAATTGATTGCTTACTACCTCAAAAAAAGAAATCCAAACTTTCTGATAAAAATGCATAAAAGAGGGGTTCCCATTGTGGCCTAAGGGTTAAAGTCTCAGCACTACCACCATGTCTGTGAAGCAACCTGAGTTCTATCCTCTGCCAGGGAGCTAACCAACATAGCGCAGCAGATGTCTCCTGCCTTGTCTGCTGCTCCCCTCAGCAGTGTATCAGTCAATTTACCAGTTCTGCTCTCCACTCTGTTTCTGGTGAATCCCCTCCCCTTCTGTACCTCTGGCCTATGCCCTAGTTCTTCTATGCAAAAATAAAATAAATAAAAATCTTGCAATAAAGGAATAATTCTTTTAAAAAATGCATAAAAGAATAATAAATTTTCAACTCCAATATTATTTGGTCAGTGAAAATTTCCTCTTCTTTCATGAATTAAAATGTATTAGTGATAAAGGAATAATTGGAGTCCTTAATCAGTAGATATATTTATTTATTTATTTTAAAGTTATTTTTATAATTTATGCATACAAGAACTGGGGTGTAGGCCAGAGGTGCAGGGAGTGAGGGAATTCACCAGAGACAGAGTGGGGAGCAGAACAGTTGTATCTACTGAAATACACTGCTGAGAGGAGCAGCAGGAAAGACAGTAGATATATTTATATTACAATGTCATATCTCCATTTTCCTGCTTCTTAAAAATTGGGGTTAAGTTAAGCATGATTTTTAAAAAGAAACAAAGTAATCTCTGAGAGACAAATATTAATTTCTTCAGTATTTAATCTGTTACACACACAGCAACTAGAATACAAACCCAAGCATATACCATTGATGGTCCAACTAAGCCAGAGTAATGGTCCACCTAGCAGAGCTCAAACTTTTTACATTGTGCTTGTTCTGGTGTGAGAAAGGAATGATTTAAAAACAAACAAGAGATAAAAACATCCCAAAAAAGTATGAGATGACCAAACTATCAACACTTAGAATACCAATTACATTGAAAAGTAGAAACTATCAATTTTCAGTTGGAAAATTGAATCATATATGAAAATTGAATGTGAAGGAAATCATTGAAAATGACCTTTCTGAATAGGAGAAGGTAAATAGCAGGAATAAGTTTGTGAAGATGCTTTGTGTACTCATGCTGCCTTCACTTCTAGCAGCTAAGTCCTTAGCTCTATCTTTCAAAGGCATGTGTAGCTGGGACCTGACTCCTGTAGAGCCCTTTTCAAAGAGGGTTTGGTTCCAAGTTTCCATCCTCTGGTCATGGAAATCCCTGAGATGTAACAAATGACAAAAACAGACAGCAGCTGCTCTTCCACTAACCCCACATTACTGAGCATGTTTATTTAAATGGAATCTAGAGGTTACCAGAAAGCGCTGAATGACAGGAACACAAATCACTCATCATGGCCAGGTGCAGAGATGCTGGGACACCACTCTGTGTACAACTCACTCTGAGAACAGAAGAAGCCTGTCTAAGCATTGGGTCCACTTGAACAGTTCGTTGCAGAGGCTGCTGCTAGAGCTCTGTCAACAGAGAAGAAAAAATACACGTGTAGGGAAAGGCCAAATTTGTTTACTGATCTAGCAAGTTATCTAGTAACGTATGTTTTAGCCATATATTTGTTTTAGAGAGAAGAGAAAAGAGTGTCTGTATTTATGTTATCTGCATAAAGAAACTCTGGAAAGATAAAATAAGAATCTAAGGAGATTAAATAGTTAATGGTGGGTAAGAGCTGAGTACAAAGCAACAAATTTGAACAAGGAGCTGGTTCCTGTGGACCCTTATACTTTCCAGTTGACGGACCAAATAAATATATTGCCTAGTAGATTTCTTTTAATTATATGGAATAGGGGAGAAAAGTTCTCTTTAAAAGGAAAGAACTATGCTAATTTTACACTTTAAAAGGAAAAAACAAATATATTTGGATTTCCAGTCAAAGGTTTATATCAGTGGAAATCTGGATTGTAATCTGCAGGGAAAATCATGAAAATTCCCTGGAGCAGTGTGTTGGTATTAGTGAGTAACAGTCATCACTCACCCAGTACCCATGTTTTGGGGCCTATGTGTGGGTTCAGGGCTAAATCCTTAAGCAAAATACTTAGATGCATGTTTAGAAGTCTTCATATTGTCAAAGTTATTGCCATATAGGCATGTAATTCATCATTAGGAATGGCAACGATTCAAAACCTGGGAATAACATCATATAAGAAATGTATCTTAGCAAGAATCTGGAGATTTGGAAAATTCTTTCTCTATTTTTGCAAATTATGAGAATTTATAAATTCCATAATATGGTCATATATGGAAGCTTATTTACAAGCTTAGAGTTATTCACAATGTACTAAAAATAATATCTTATTATCATAGGAAAACAACCTATATTTAAAATAATGACCAAAATTATAATGTATAATTTTTTCCAACATAGGGTTGGGGTTTTATTTTAGATTTTCCTTATTTATCTAATTCTGAAGTTTATTCTAATGCATTCAATTTCTCTCAGTTTATTGGTTTTTAAAGTGGGTAGTAGCTATGCAGTCACATGTGTGGAGTGTTTCAGTAGGTTAAAGATCACTTTGGCATGTATTATTTACTGATAGAAAAAAGTTAGAGTGGACTCTTTTTATTTAACAACACTTTATATCACCTAAGAACTTATACTGTTACCCTTGTTGTCAAAGTTAACCTACTATCCAAATAGACATTTGTTTGGGGGAATTAAGTGTGTGTTTTCACATATAATCAAAAAGTATTATCCTATAAATGCTTGCAATATAATGGGAGTTCATTAAGGAATAGTTCATAGACTTTACATGAAAATCATAAGGAATATAGTGTACATATGACAATCCACAAGAATTTCAGAAAACTATCGATAAGTAATCATAGGCCATGAGTTTCTCTGCAAAGTTCGTTGATGGCTGATTACTATGAAATTTCACTTTCCACAAATCAACAAGCTGTGAAATGTCTGCAGAGTAGAACAAAATCCTTTTCTCCCCTGACTTAATACTGAAAAGAGTCAATCTCAAGTGATCCTTCGAGAATAGGATTGAGTCACTTCCTAAATTAATCCTTGTTGCTTAAAAACAGACATTTCTTACACTGACATCTGAAATTCTAAAGGAAAGGCTAGAACTTCCTAAAAGTGAGGTATGAGTGTGTATTTTAACCTGATTTCATTAGTCATGTGGCCACATTAGAATAGTTATATGAGTATTTAGCTGGGGAGGGCTATTAAGATGCTAAATCGGGTAAAGAACTAGAGAACAAGGCAGGTGAAGCAATCCCAGGAACTGCAAAACACTTATTTTAAACTCACATTTTATAGACATATGAACAACATTTTTGATCAGAAGCCAAATTGTGCGTCATTCAGTCAAGTAGCACATGCCACAGTCTTTGGCATCATATTTCTTGTCTTTGCTAATAGGAATTACTGAAAAAAACCTAGCGCATGGAAAAAACTGAACAAAAGAAGCTTTAGAGACAAGTGTGAAATTACTTGACTCCATCAGAACCAATTCCCTCAGAAGAACATGCTGATTAATAGGTCCTTCTCTGTCATCCTTCAAAGTGAGGAATGTTTGAAATTAGAAGCAGCCAGCAGATTTCTTTTTACAGCTTTCTCTGATAAAAAAAAAACAGCCCAGTGTCTGAAGCCCTAGTGGTGAAACAGCTGTGTGAGGCCATTTCTGGGCTTACAGAAAGCAGCCAACAATGTCTGCTATGGCACTATGCCCGCCACACAACTGTGATTCTTAAACTAGTCCCAACTCTCTCATTTCACATTTGAGGGTACTGAGATGCAGAGCTTTGACTTACTTTCTTTGTATGCACTTATTTGAAGTCATCCATACCATGAAGCATGTGTTTGTCTGAACTCTCTTCCTTCAGCCAAAAATTATGAAGCTACAGTTAATCTACTGTGTTCCACAGTCATTCCATTCAATCCAATTTTTATTTATTTATTTTTTAAGATTTATTTATTTATGCATACAAGAGCTAGGGTACGGGCCAGAGGTGTGTGTGGGGGGGGGTGAGAGGATTCAACAGAGACAGAATGGGAACAGAACAGGCAGACTGACTGAAGTACACTGCTGAGGGGAGCAGTGGGGCGAGTCAGGAGAGGTCTGTTGTGCATGTGGGTAGCTCCCTGGCTGGCCGGGAATCAAACACGTGCTGCAGTTGCTGCGGACAGCATCTCACCCCTTGCGCCACCAGGGAGGCCCTCACTCCAATTTATTTATTTATTTTTTAAATTCTTTTTTTTTAATAGAGGCATATTTTATTTATTTATTTATTTGTTTGTTTGTTTTGTTTATACATGCACTGGGTACAGTCAGAAGCGCGGGAGGGTGAGAGAATTCACCAGAGCCAGAGCGGGGAGCAGAGCAGGCAGAAGGACCGAAGTACACTGCTGAGGGGAGCCGCGGGCAGCAGGAGAGGTCTGCGTGCCCTGTGGGACCCTCCTCCGGTGGCCGGGGAGCAGCTGGGGATCGAACTGGCGCTGCAGAGGCTGCGGGCAGCTTCGCAACCCAGCGCTCAACCACTGCGCCACTGGGGAGGCCCTCTCACTCCAATTTAGCAACCATTGAGAACCTGATGTTTACCCATGACACAGTCTTCCTTGAGAGTGGGAACAGAAGTAAAGATGGATTGAACACAATTCCCATATTCAAGGAATTGAAATGTAGTAGAAATGACACATATCCAACCATAATTTGATAAATCTATCTTGCAATTTAACCCAAGTAAAGCTGATGCAGAGAGGTAGGAAAGGAATTCAGGTAGGGGTTTATTGAAAACGTTGCATTTGATCTGAACCTTGGCAGATGAGTTGAGGTTTTGTTTGTGGAGAAGGAGAATCACACATTTTTAAAAGTAACAAAAAATTTATTTGTGTTTCAGAAACATGTGTGTGTATGTGTGTGTGTGTGTGTGTGTGTATGAGATAGAGAGAGAGAGTTTGGGGAGAGAAACTAACTGAAGACAATTTCTCTCTTTCTTTCCACTGCTTGCAAACCCTCTTATAACCATTTCCAAAAGTCTGAAGAAATAAAGTTGTAGAGAACAATGGAAAAATGGAAGCATCACTTTTTGTCAGGAGCCATTTAAATCCTGGCTGTGCTCTTCATAGCTGTGTGAGCTAGGACAGTTACTTAACCTCTCCATGCCTTTGTTTCTTCATCTGGAAAATGATGTTAAAAATAGTACTACTTCATGTGACTGGTTGTGAGGGTTGAATTTACTAAAGTACACATAAAGCCCCTAGAACATCGCCTAGCTCATGGTAAATGCTTGGTATCAGATGTGGTATTAGTATTATGTATGGTATCGGTGCACATGAAATTGGGTGTCTACAAGCGAATCCATTGAAAATCCAGCTCCTTTGAGAAGACAGATAATGGCTTCATTAGACAAGCCTGGTCTGGCATCATAGCCACTGGCAATTGACTTGGGAGACAGTGTCTGAGGAAGGGCCCCCTCATGTAGCCCTACCCTCGAGGACTGAGAGACCCAGGGATGGGAGAGTCAGAGAAAGGGAATCTTTCATCAGAAATTTTTTTCCATGATTCATTTTTTTAAAATTCTTCCAAGTCAAAAGCCATATTGATGACAGAATAAAACACTTAGATATAATGATCTTTCAATACAATGCACTGATTTTATCAACATGCAAGAATAGTAGCAGGAAAAATGTTTGGCTTTCATTCTACACTGACAGCCAACAATAAAACCCCCAACATAAAACTTTCCTCTCTGTTGTGTCAACAATAGTCACCTTTTCTTTTATGTCTTTTATTGAAGTGAAATTAACATACATACAAAAAGTGCATATTATGTATAAGTGTTGAGCTTTGGTGAATTTGTAGGCTGCTCACACCTTATAACCAACACCCAAATCAAGAAGCCAAACATTATCAACATCCAAGAAACCTCCCCCCCCCACAAAAGGAAAATCACTTTCCTGACTTCTAGCAGTATTAATTGATATTTTTTAGTTGTGCATTATGCAAATGTAATTATTATACTATGCCCTCTATTTTGCATCTCTACATTATGCATTTGAGATCCTACCACACTGTTGTGAAAGGTTAACTTTTTAAAATGTAATTTTAAAGAGAGGAAAGCACATTCAATGAGTTTTGTTGTATTTATAGTACATTTTATATAATCTACTATAGATTTGCATTATTGAGCAGACGCTGCTACAAACTTCACTGCTGTTTCAGATGTTCCTGCAAGAACAAGAATTGTGTGTACATGTTTTTAATCATAAGGTATTTACACTTCAACTTACTTCACTTTGTTGTCATTCCATTATAGGTATAAAAACCAGGTGCCAATAAATATCCATACAAACCCCGGAAAGTATATCATCGAGAGTCGCTATGGAATGCACACACTGGAGATTAATGAGTAAGAGGACATCAGGGTCTGTGTGCATTGCCTAACAATTGCTTGGGGTGGGGTTACCTCATCGCTCCACTTAACAACTGCTCTCTCTCCTTCTTCCCAATTCCACAGCCACACAGGACACTCACATACATTGTTCCTATTAGTGCACATGTACAAGTGATATGCTTGACTCATTCCTATCGAGGCCACATTACCTCCCAAAGTGGTCTTATATTTTAATTTAGTCAAAGATGATAATAAAAAGTTAATTTCTACCTTTTTCATTTACCCTTTTATATAAGTGTGTTTTTCTTCGATAGTAATAAGAAAAGAAGTTACATAAATAAGCATTCATATTCAATCATCCTTCACAGCTCCAAATCAACATCATTGTCATACTCTTTCCTTTATCAGCAAAGGCCTTGGAGATCGTAATGGGTGGTACAGAAAGTAAACTGGACTTGGAGATATTGCTCTTTCCTTCAGCTCATCAGCAACTGTGGGCAACTGTGCACCCACTCTCTTAACCCATAGATGTGAGGTAGGGTGGGACATCAGAGTGCTTTAATGTAAAGCAGAACCCATATCACATTTTCTAAGTCCTGAAAGACTTATCATGCCTCTGAAGATGGCTTTAAAATTCAAGCCCAGTTATGTGGTTGAAAAAGCTAAGCAGTTTCCCCCCATTGTTTGCAAAAAAAAACACAAAAAACAAAAAACCATGACCTATTGAAATGTCAAAGAAAAATTGACATCATTCTGTGCTGTAGAATTCTATAGACTTCTCCCCACAACATATGACACAAATGATGCTGGACTTCAAACAGAACCCTGGGATCCTGTGACAGTCACCAAACATAGACCCCGACCTACAGTCACATCAATCAGCCAGAGGAGTGTCTACTGAGACAGCAGTGAGCCATGTGGTGGTTTTATTATCAGTTATGAAAAAAGCAACCAGATTCACCCTCCTGGGTTTCTATTTATATAAGTAAAATTTCAGCAAGCAGTAAGTTTACACAAATGAAAATAAATCCAGAGCAACAATGAGGAACATAAGAACTGATGATAAGAAAAAACAATCTGCTTTGAAATCTTGTTCATCTCTCTGTGAGATAATTTTCTCCCTTATTATCAACGACATCCCAATTTGTGTGTTATAGAGGAACTTCCAAATGGCACTTCTGGCATCACACTGTAGGCTGAAACTACAAACGTGGCCTGAACCTGAGTAGAATCAAAGGATAAATAATTCATTTGTACTCTGAGGCTAGAACACCCAATATGTTAAACCAATCTGGATCTGGTTTATGGCACAGGGAGTCTATAAAGAGAAGTTCCTTCTTTCCATCTCTGTTACTCCCATTTTGAATCTGACCCTGAGGGAGCAAAGTAGAAAGATCATGTCCTCAATGTGCTTTGGGTAGCTACCTATACAAAATCATATGGCTGGATGCTTTCTGCTTCTGATATGATTTTAGGCCAGTTTATCACAGAGTTGTTCATGCTGTAATTGAAGTGCTTAGCAATAACTGGGCATTTTCTTTTACATTTTAAATGAACCCAGACTAGGATTGATACAGGCAGCAAAGGGCAGTAAAACCGGCCAAGGACACTGCCCATATAGTTTACTCGTCACTGTCTGAGTTTTTCATACACACACACAATTGCAAGACTACTGAGTCTCAGAGAACAACAATAATGGGATTTATTTAACAAAGCAGGGAAAAACAAAGAGTTACTGAGGCCCAAAATAGCAATTTACCTCACCCAAAGCAGTGTCCAGTGTTTTCAAGTCCTAAACAAAAAGCATCTAAGATGATGTCTTCCTACCACTAAGGACACAGAACTCCTCTCTTGAACAATAGGCCACGGGCCCAAGATGGCATCATCTTGCCTGGAGCATGCAGCAACCAGACTATAGGCCAGTTTCCAACTCACAAAGACAACAGAAGACACAACAGGAGATGCTGGACCTGCCGAGATGCCCCAAAACAGCAGCGGCAGGAGCTAAATAACCTGACAAATGGCCACACTCTTGTAGTTCAGCCCGCCTTCCCTGCCAGGCTGTAACAGTAGCAAAACCGGAACAATTTCAGTCTCTCACCCTGCAAAGCCTTAGAACTGTTCCTCTCTGAGGTTGGTTGCTGGAGGTCTCTTCATGACCTTCAGAGGCCTGCACCAGCCTTCTGGAAGATCGGCACAGTGGGGGTTGTAATTGCAGACCCTGGATCACTGAAGATCTGAAAACGCTGTATCCCAAATGCTGACTGTTCAAACACTGAATCCTGGGGGCTGCTTCTGCAGTCTCTTATATTTCTTATCAGAGTTTCCACCCCAATTTTTGATACTATTTAGCATTTTCCCTAGGGCTATCTATTCTCACCAGCACCCCACTGCGGGTAAAGGGGGGAGGGGGACACCACCTGGAGGCTTCAGCCATCCCTTACATGATCACAGTGAATTATAGGTATTCTGCTCGCATGTGCTGCTGGATTATAACCACAGTGGATCTCTTGGACTACGTAAAATCCCACAGGGATCAGAGACCCTATTTCATCGCAAGTCCCAAAGAACCATGTATTAGTCGATGATTTGCAGTGTGCCATGTTATCAAAGAGATCCTTGATGGCACAGCTAGTAGTCACAAGGAGTGTCACCATGACAGCTCCTCATGTTCACTTTCTTTCAGGTGTGATTTTGAAGACACTGCTCAGTACCGGGCCTCCGCGATGAATGCAAAGGGAGAGCTGTCAGCTTATGCTTCCGTTGTTGTCAAGAGTAGGTTGCGGTGCTTGTTTATTTAAAGCATATTTTTTTAAAATTCTTATTGCAAAAAAAATAACAAAATGCACATGAAGCAGTTCACATATATTCCTGCTTTCTTTTCCAGGATATAAAGGAGAGCTTGATGAGACTCGCTTGCATGCAGGAATTTCTACTTCACCCCCCAGCTGTAAGTTAAAAATATATTTACTAAATGCCAGCTTTACTTAAAATACAGCTTATTATAAGGCTATTCTATAGTAATGCCATATAATGTGATGACAATATGTTGTATGCTAGTTTGTATGCAATCTCTCTCTGTGGTTCTATTTTTTTTTTTTTTAATTCTCTGGTTTCTATTTTCTTTCTGAATGTTTTGTTCTTGTTTTATAAAAGTCCAGATGTGATGGGTTAAAAATGACAAATGCTTTTAAGTATTTCTGGCTTAAAATGAAAAAGACCATTATATAAACCCAGGTGGAGTAATTTTAAACACCCCCTACCCTACCACCAACCTGCCCAGCTCAACTTTATTTATCAGCCTTTTAAATCTTTTGGATCCTTCTCTGACTGACACATGAACTCAGCACAGTAGCTCCCAAGACAGAAAACAGAGAGTTCTCATTCAGTCATTCAACTAATATGTACTTAAAACCTATTATGTTCCATATAGTGGTTCAAGTGCTTGGAATACCACTGGTTGTTCTAATAGTTCATATGCATCAATCAGTTGTGTTGGACATTATGCAAGGACATATTTTGTATGTATTGACTCATTTAATGCTCCCTGACAACTTATGAAATTGGTCCCTTTTTATCTATGCTACGCAGTTGAGGAGAGAGTTTAAAGATTTTAAAAAACAGGACAAGACCACTCAAAATGGTAAAGTAGGGACATGTATCCTGGTTTTTCTAATTCTAAACCAGGGGTCAGCAAGCATTTTCTATAAAGGACTAGACTGTAAATAGTTTAGGCTTATGGGTCATATGGTCCCTGTCACAGCTACTTAGCTCTGCCTTCATGACATGAAAGCAGCCATAGACTCTAGGGAAATAAATGAATGTGGCTGTGTTTCAATAAAATCTTATTTCTGAACATTGAAATCTGAATTCCCTACAAATTTTCACGTCACAAATTTTTTTTTTATTTTATTCCACATGAGAACATTTTAAAACCATTCTTAATGGAACAAAATAGGTGTGGAGTAGATGGGACCTATGATTCAAAGAGAAGTGATTTCACTGTTAGTGGTTGCCTGGGAACATCAAATTCAAGGCAAAATCATGTACTGTTTGAGAACACAGGTTCTGGAAACAGCCTGCCAGTGGAAATCCTGCCTCTGTGGAGTGGTTGTGGGAGTTATACAGCCTCCCTGTGCTACTGGCTCCTCATTAGTAAAACAGAGATAATAAGATACTTCCCTTATTATAATTCTCTGGTAGGATTATTATGAGGTTTGAGTTTATTATGAGGTTCAGTTTATCGGTATTAAGCACTTGGAATACTTGACATAAATTGAATGATCTTTTAGGAAGAGAGAAGAAATATAGGAGAAAGGCCTAAGTTTTAGAGTTAGGAAGTTATAAGTTTAAATTTTGACTTCACACATGAAATCTGTGGAACCCATATTACATTTTTGAGGTTCTATATTCTCATATGAAAAAAAAGAAAAAATAATAGCAATGCCATGAAGTTGTTGCAAGGATTAGATGACATGTCAAATATAAAGTGCTTGGCATGCAGTAAATCAATTAATAGTTATTATTTTCCCAAATCCTTTCATTTAAGAAAAGAGAATAGAAAACATTTATATATGTATGATGTAGGCTTATATTCAATCTATAAAGAAGATATTTTTAAGAAAAATATTTTTGATGTTTCAATATTTTAAATTTTCAGCTTTCTCTCATGGACATTTCATTTTCTTACATTTCTTATATTTTTCCACGCAGATCATTAAAAAGATTGAGACAACTTACTGAAAAACTGTATTTTTTTTGTTCAAAAAGAGATGTATGATCAGAAAAGTGTGGGGACTCTTGCACTAAATTGTGAGCCCACCTTCCTCACAGCAATAAGTCCAAGCCCTGGCCCATTGCCTGACATATGGCAAAGCCTAAACCATTTGATAGGTCTTTGTTGTGACCGCTTCCTGCCTGTGCTTCTTAAAATGTTTGTGACTCTGGTGAGAAAAAAATGAATTACTGACATTTTTTTTTGTTTTTGTACCCAGTTGCTGTGACTCCTTATGGTTATGCGTCCAAGTTTGAGATCCACTTTGATGATAAATTTGATGTGTCTTTTGGGAGAGAGGGTGAGACGATGACTCTCGGCTGCCGTGTAGTTATCACACCTGAAATTAAACATTTCCAGCCAGAGATCCAGTGGTACAGAAATGGTGAGCTTTACATGAATTCTCAATTAAATTCGTATTTGCAGAAACTTGCACATTATGTTTGACACCAGAGTATGAATGTCCATAAGATTGATGATCTGTTTCTCAAAACTGGCAGAATCTGAACATTAAAGGCATAACTTACTGCATGTTAAAAAAAAAAAGTTTTCACACATGTATCAAGGTAGCAGAACTACAATATATTTCTGGTTGTTTAACTTCTTATCACCAAGTAACATAAACAAAGGATGACAAAATGTGTTTTTGTTTTGTAAATAAAATATGATTTTGTTTTGTTTTGTACATTTTGTATGTTTTGTTTGGTATGATGGAGCAAAGTCCAGTGAAGTCCAATGAGACTATAGAACATGCCCTTTTACCCATGAGTGGGCAGTAACTCGCTAGACAGTTGGCTTGAACTTCAGGGGAGGCAGAGCTCCATGTGGGGCAGCATGAGAACCTACAGTAGGAGGACAGCTTGCCCTTTCATCCCTCGAAATTATTTCCTTGGGATCTGCACAATTATCAATTCCATGGTCTGGGCACCACTACAGGACCTGATGGTAATCAGGCAGTAAACTTTGTCACTAAACTATTATAAAACGAAAGAGTACCGTCTTGCAGTAGAGCACAGAAGGCAGTTACTATCCATAGAATTCTTCATTGACTTTAGAATCTCTAGTTCTGAAAACTGCCACAACATTGCAAAGCAGATAGGCACAGATATAAAATATAAGTTAAGTTTAAAGATCTTCACATTCAGTAAAAGAGAGTGTTATTTCTATATGAAACTTTGGATGAATCCATTGTTAAGGAAAATAATTTTAAAATTAACTTTTCATCATAATTTAAGATGCAGTGATAGAATGTATAGAAAAAGTATTTTAAATTAGATAGAAATCACAAAGTCATTTTGGTTTCTTTCATGACTTCCACAAGTCATACAATATGTTAAGGAAAACAATAAGATGCAATTTTGTAAATTTACATTTAGAATTTAGACTTATCTGAAGTGGATTTCAGGAGTATCTTTTTTTTTTTTTTTTTTAAGAAAAGATGTTCCTCCAGAATCTTCAGTTCTAGAGTACTAAAATTCATGTTTTAAAATAGCTTATTAGGGCCTCCCCGGTGGCGCAGCGGTTGAGCGCTGGGTTGCGAAGCTGCCCGCGGCCTCTGCGGCGCCGGTTCGATCCCCGGCTGCTCCCCGGCTGCTCCCCGGCCACCGGAGGAGGATCCCACATGGTGCGCAGACCTCTCCTGCCACCCGCTGCTCCCCTCAGCAGTGTACTTCAGTCCTTCTGCCTGCTCTGCTCCCTGCTCTGGCTCTGGTGAATTCTCTCACCCTCCCGCGCTTCTGACTGTACCCAGTGCTTGTATAAACAAAACAAACAAACAAATATAATAAATAAATAAATAAAAACATGCCTCTATAAAAAAAATAAATAAATAAAATAGCTTATTAGAATGTTCATTCAATGTTTTTGTATAATTTATTAATAATACTATGTAGTATAGAACCATATAATATAATAATTATTTATACTCAATAGCTCCAGCAATAGTTGCATCAGCAACAGATACTTCCCAAATAAAAAATTATCAAAACACTTGTGACCTTCTATTTGCAAGGAGTGACTGAACTTGCTTTCAATTATACAGACTTAAAATAAGCTGCTAGAGCATAAATTTGGTGAGTTAATAACTGAATTCGCAGAAAAGCATGCTAGAAATCTTAATATCAAATTAATAAGAAATTTTTGTATATTAAATTACAGCATGAAATAGAATTTTGTCTGTAATTTCTATTACCCCTGTTATATTTTATAAGGAAAAATACTTTAGGAAAAAAAGTTATATTTGGGGCCTCCCTGGTGGTGCAAGGGGTTAAGACACAACCTATGAGGCTATTGGCAGCCACTGCAGCACAAGCTTGATCCCCAGCCACGGAGGAGAACAAAATGGTGCAGCAGACTTCTCCTGACTCGCCCACTACTCCCCTCAGCAGTGTATTTCAGTCAATCTGCCTGTTCTGTTCCCAACTCTTGTCTCTGGTGAATCCTCTTACCCTCCATACCTCTGGCCTGTACCCCAGTTCTTGTTTGCATAAATAAATAAATATTTTTTAAAAAGTTATATTTTATTACCTTTAACTTTTTTTCCTCTGCATTTTGAATAAGGATTTTTATCTGGAACCTTGCAGATTATGTATCTGGTCCTGATCCCCTCAATCAGAAAGTATTAGAGACTTCCTCTAACAGTCAAATAATTTCCAATATAAAATAGAGAGACAGACAGAGAGAGAGAAGGAAACATAGTAACATGCATGAGAAAGGAGAAAGAAGGGAGTAATGGAGAAAAAATCAGTTAACTTGCTTATATTTTTATTTATTTTATTTCCAGGTGCACTGGTTTCTCCATCAAAATGGGTGCAAACAAACTGGAGTGGAGATAGGGCAACACTGACATTTTCTCATCTCAACAAAGAAGATGAAGGCCTCTATGCAATCCGTGTACAAATGGGAGAATATTATGAGCAATATAGTGCCTATGTCTTTGTTCGAGGTAAGACCTAGCAAAAAGTGAATGCCTGAGAATATTTAAAATACCAAGGCCAGATTAATCTGTCCAAACATGTTTTTTGTTATGATGAAGGAACCATTTGACAACTGTTCCAGATTATATATCTGGAAAAATAATATCTGGATATTAACTTACACAATCATTAAATTCAGTACTTTACTCATCTTCAGTGAACCTATCAAACCATTTCTCTGTAAGTGTTCCAGTAGAAATACTAGCTCTACGGAAAGATGATCAGGTTATGAAAGCTACAACAAGAGAGCCATGTTTATTTGGGGATTTACTCTTTAAAGTCTATTTCAAGCAAGCCCCTTCTCCAGAACCTCAGATTTAATGAACGAGAAAATAGGGTATTTCAACTTAATCCTTAAAGGAAACTAACACTGTTCATTTTAGAAGTCTTTCTTTCTTTCAATGTTGTCTTGAATGAACTGGATCTGAGCAAAGGGAACAACGCTCCACATCGGATCCCTGCATATTTGGAAGGCCTTGATTCTTCCAGACTACAAGGGTCACCGTGTTCTGTGCCCTTTAAGTGATGGCCAGTCAGCTGTGACCAATGTGGAGAGTAGAGGCCCAGGATTGTATTATGCTCACAGATCTCAGAGACCAAAGGGAAAACACCAGTATGGGCTGGTCAGGAGGCAGAAGAGCCAAGCACAAGGGACTTTCTTGGAGTTTCTGTGGGAAAGAGAAGGCGATACAGACTAACAGTTAGTGATTGACAAGTTTAAATAATTTCTGTGGAATCTAAACTGGAGGGGTGGTCCCTAGCTTCTAGTAGCTGGCCCTGGGATGATTAGGGCTGTGGAACTTTGTCTCCCAGCTGTCTGCGCCTGATAGAGAAGGTGTGGCTGGGATTGGTTATTTATACATCATAGGCTGCTCCAGTCTGTGTCCATAGCTCTGCCTGAGAATTGACTAGTTGAGGGGTGGGGGGTGGTGGCAGTGGAGGGGCAGTCTCTCCCCTATCAGAAAGGTATTTAAGATGCTAAAACATCATAATATATAGAAAATATAAGCAATACAGGTAGACTTACTAATATTTTTATCTCTTGTGCATTAAATAGAATCATAGACTCATCTGCAATTTGATCAAGAGGGAACTTGAAAGGTCACTAGGTGTCCTTAGCTGGATTCACATACTCCCAAAGGGTCACAACTGTATTTTCAGTATAATGGATTTATTTAAAAATTGCATGTACTTTATTTTATGCATTTGAAAGTAAAATACTGATAAGGAGCCTCTAGGCTTTATCTATTTGCCAAAGGAGTTTATGGCACAAAAAAAAAAAAATGTTAGGATTTCCATTCTAGTCCAACCACTTAATTTTAAGATGCAGAAACTGAGGCTTAGAAAGAGAAAATGATTTATGAAAAGCCTCACAGTAACTTAGAAGGAGAAGTGGAATTAGGATGTAGGTCTCTGGGGTCTAGCCCAGGATTTTAATTAGGCTAAGTTGTCAAACAAAATTAAATTCTCTCCCGTCCCAAAGGTAAGGGGAGGTCTAGATGGTCCTACTCAACATGGCCGTTCGTATCCATCTTTGCTCTTTCTCCACTGCCCCCCTCACTGTTCTTTCCCATGATCCCATTCCAGCCTCCTAAAAGGAGACAAAGGACATGGAGGACTAGGAGCAGATCTGCACACATGGCTTCTGCATGTGAGCACAGTCACACGCATCTCACAGTAGGGAAGCCAGAAAATCTAGTTTCTAGTTGGGCATCCATGTTACCTGCTAAAGTTTAGGGCTTCTCCTGTGAAAAGGAAACAGAAAGAATGGATACTGGCCGCAGATAGATGTCTGTATCATTGCTGCACTGAACAAACACAAATGATCATTAAATTCTTCCATAGACCAGCAACCGACAAAGACCCACGAATATCTCTACTATCTGACAGTGCATCACACTTTCTCTATACAAGGATTGTGGGAAAAGTCTGATATGGCCAGGGAGGGAGAGGAGCAAGACTTCTGGGTAAATTGGAGTAAGAAAAGAATCACTGGACTAGGAGCGGTGACTTCGATCGGCCTTGCAGGCTTGTTCTCATCTTCCCGGCCAAGGTCTCTCCCGCAGCCATGCTCCGCCAGATCTTCAATCAGGCCAGGAAGCACCCTAGCTTGATCCCACTCTTCGTGTTTATTGGAGCGGGAGGTACTGGCGCAGCGCTCTATGTCATGTGTCTGGCTTTGTTCAATCCAGATGTCAGTTGGGACAGAAAGAATAACCCAGAACCCTGGAACAAATTGGGTCCCAATGATCAATACAAGTTCTATTCAGTGAATGTAGATTACAGCAAACTGAAGAAAGAAGGTCCAGACTTCTAATGAAATATTTCACTATAAAGCTGCTTAAAATGAAGGTCTTCCAGAAGCTGTCCGCACAATTTTCCACTTAACCAGGAAATACTTCCCTCTAAATGCACGAAATCATGTTGGTGTATTCTGTAGGGGTTTACACTGATTAATAAATGTATCTGAAACTTGAAAAAAAAAAAAAAAAAAAAAAAAAAAGAAAAGAATCACTGAAACACAACAGCAAATCAGTTTGCTTAGCTAATCCACCTGGAAAAGCCCAACTACATGAATAGGTGGAACCGCTTCTTCCACTCTGTCATCTCACCTGAACCAGAGAGTATTTTATCTCTAACAATTCAAGAAAACAAACAAACAAAAAAACCCAGAAAGCTCAGTTATGTGCTGGTGATTCTTTTGTGGACTTTTTCTGGGAACTCTAACACAGCCTAGGGTCTCCTCAATGGCATTTATTAGATTCCAGACTCAGAGTTAGTGATTCTGCCAAGTGCAGGCTGTACTGCACGTTATTAACTATACATGGGGGAAGGACTGAAATTTGAAATTTAAGCCAGTTTTTTAATCCACAAATAAAAAGATGGAAGTATTCTAAAATTTATCAGATGTTGACTTAAGGAATTGAAAAGAAAAATGGGAAAACTTAAATTGGAAAGACAAGTTTCTTCCTTTTTTTAAAGATTTATTTTATTTTTATGCATATAAGAACTGGGGTACAGGCCAGAGATGCAGGGGGTGAGAGGATTCACCAGAGACAGAGTGGGGAGCAGAACAGGCAGATTGACTGAAATACACTGCTGAGGGGAGCAGCAGGCGAGTCAGGAGAGGTCTGCTGTGCCATGTTGGCAGCTCCCTGGCCTGGGATCGCACTCGTGCTGCAGTAGCTGCAGACAGCTTCATAGGTTGTCTTAACCCCTTGCACCACCAGGGAGGCCTGGAAAGACAAGTTTCAACAATTGTATTGTGAATTTAACAACTTTTAGAAAAAGACTTAAATTTATTTTAGGTTTTCTAAAAATTCTTTATTGAGGTGAAATTTGTATACCATGAGATTCACTCATATTAAGTGTACAATGCCTTTTAGGGTATTTATTGACTTAAGTAGCCATCTTCCACAATACAATTTTAGACCATTCCTTTCATCATCCCAAGAAGATTTCTCTTGCCCATTCCCACTCTTATTTCAACAACTGCTAACCTGCTTACTATATCTATGGTGTGGCCTTTTCTGAACTTTTCTGGGTGAAATGTCATATTTTATATCTGTTTTCTTTTACTGAGCATATGTTTTGAGGTCCATTTATGATACAACATGTATTAATGGCTTGTTCCTTTTAGATGCTGGATAGTATTGCACTGCATGGATATTTTGTCTATCCAGTTTGTCTATTCATTCACATGTTGATGGACAGTTAAGCTGTTTTCATTCTTTGGCTACCATGACTAATGCTGATATGAACATTTGTGTTGATAGTCATGCACCCATGTTTTCATTTCTCCGGGGTAAATACCTGTAAAAGATGTTGCTGAGCATATGTTAAATTTATGTCTAAGTCTTTTAAAAAATCCCAAAGTGTTTAAAGTGACATTTAAAAACATCCTTAATTGCCTACTCTCTATCAGACTCAGTAAACTAATGTCCATGGTATCAGTTCAGGGATTGCTATTTACTGTGTTATAGGTCTTTAGCAAATGGACATGCTAGAGGTTGCCAACTATTCCCCTTGCAGCTGAGTGACTGTCCAGCTATGTCTCTTCTGCCACTTAGGCTGTTAACCTCAACATCTCCACTTCCATCTAGGAGTGCTCTACCTTCACCTGCAGTAGCACACTCCCACCCAGTCTCCAGTGCTCTCAAAGCCTGAAATGAAAGAAGGTTCTCCCCGCCAAAATGCTCATTTTCCATTTGTGGCATGCAGGAATTCTGCATTAAATTTTAGGCACTTTAATTTACTTACATTCTCCTGTAGCAGGAAATATTTACCTAGAGGCACTTTCTTGCAAGTTCTTGCAAAAAATAGAATGTTCAAAACCAGAGGGACTTGAATTCTTCACATGTAATGCAAACCTATTAATTTCAGATGTACATAAATCATTCTGCCATGCTGTCATATGTTTTAATTACTCATAAGAGCTACAGGAGCTTAGCTCACAGGAAGAGTGTGTATTCAGTCAACAAGAATTGCTTTCTCTTCTTTGGGTGGCTCCTCTGTGTCAGCCCCCTTAGCCTTTAGCTCCTGGTATGAAAGGGTTGACCAGATGTCAGGAAGAATGAACAACTGTGGACTCTGCCCTGGGGGACTCTGTTGCCTATCTTCATCAGTCTTCCTTAAAAGGCTACTAATTGACTGTTTTCATTTCATTTCCTCTCCTCCTAAAAACACCCAGGATTCACTTATTTAGCTGTGCATGTCACACATTGGAGAAGATACCACTGTCTGAGGGTTCCATTTTGTAAAGAATCACTATTTCTTGTATTATCTTGAACTTTTATTAGAATCAGATAAACGAAGCTCAGATATGGGTATTGCATCAGAGTTCCTTTAGCAAGGATCTTCCGATTGGGAACAAACACTTGATGAAAATGAATGTTTTCCTTTCTCCTTCAAAATGGTTGTGCCCAGCATGGCAGTGGGCAAAGCATCATGGTTCATGTTCTCCTGTGGACTGCTGCAGGAGTTGACAGGAGCTGTTTGTTCCCCTTTAGAGTCATTCATAGTTTCCCAGTAACATTGCACAATAAATATTTTAAGAACAAACTTTCCGGCATAGCTTACCTTATACTTTTCTGATAGTAATCCCCAGTATTTACATATTTATTTTTTTTTAGAAAATTTTGGGCAGGCAAGAGCCCTGAGGCAAAGGTCAAGTGTCCTTGTTAGAGCTCATGCTAACGTATTGTTCTAACACGCTCTTGGTGAAAAGCACATATTGGTATGTTGGTAAGCAAATTACAAGACTGAAGCTTGTTCTACTGGGGCCAAAGATGTAGCCACCATGGAGGTGATCAAGAAATGTGTGCACTAAGAACTTGGCTTGCTCACTGACAGTATATGTGAAAGGATTGATGGGATCTTCTATATCTCTACAGATGCAGAAGCAGAGATAGAAGGAGCTCCAGCCTCTCCTTTGGATGTGGCATGCTTGGATGCCAACAAAGATTATATCATCATCTCTTGGAAACAGCCAGCTGTGGATGGAGGGAGTCCTATTCTGGGATATTTTATTGATAAGTTAGTATTTAGTCTAGCTTCAGTTAGAGGTATCTGGCCATAGAGATGCATGCTTCAGTTCTCCTACCACTTGTAGGTGAAATGTTTTCTTTTCTGCTTTCTCTCTCTCTCTCTCTCTCTCTCTCTCTCTCTCTCACACACACACACACACACACACACACATATATACACACACACACATATGTATGTATTTATATATATAATCTTTTTATTCTACCAGCTTATATATTTACGTAAATTCCTAAGATAATTTTTGCATTTGACCATAGTATGGTATGAACTGCCATCTTTGTCTCACAGGTCATGACCACTCCATCTCCAGGTACCAATTGCTGCAAAAGCACCCAATCAGATTTAGAGGTTCTAAGTACTTATCTTCTACTGCCACTGGGAACTACTGCAGCTCATCCGTCTCATCTGTTAAGAAACAAGTGTAGTACAGTACCCTCTTCACCCTTCTACCCACACGTGTAATGACCACCAAGTGAGAAATTAAGGTAGCCCTTTCCAAACTGTAGTATAAAGTAACATCATTTTTAAAAGAAAGTGTCTAAAAAGACAAAGAAAGAAGTCACTATTGGTGGAATTGAAGACATGAGTCAGGGAGAAATTTTGTTGCTTTTCCCCCTTAGTCTGTCCAACATAAAGATACCTATCTACTTTCCCATCCCGCCCCGCCCCCGCAAAGGTCCTCTGCATAACACGTGAAGCCCTCACCTGCCTGCTTTTAGTGAGTTTGGAAGACACGTAGGTATTCAGGAAGGATTTGGGGCTTCTTTCATCTGGTTAAAGAAAATATGTTACAGCTGAGTACAACTGAGTACCTGTGCTTATGTAACCACTCTTGAACTGGATATTGTGAAGAGAGAAAATCATAAGTAACTTTGCTAGTGTGCAGTTTTGGAGCTCATAATATAGCCATAATCCTTTTAATATTTTTGTCCATTATTCTCTTTTGCTTAGATGTGAAGTGGGCACAGATAGCTGGACTCAGTGCAATGACACGCCTGTGAAGTTTGCTCGTTTTCCAGTCACTGGTCTAATAGAAGGTCGTTCCTATGTATTCCGAGTTCGAGCTGTGAATAAAACTGGAATAGGTCTACCATCTCGTGTTTCTGAACCTGTGGCTGCTCTGGATCCAGCTGAGAAAGCAAGACTTAAAAGTAAGTACATTTCAATTTTTAGGATTTTCCCTGGATTTTTATAATAGTAACTGCAATATAGCTTATGGCGAGGTTATTCCTCCTCTTTCCACTAGAGGGAGAAAAGAATAAGAAATGCATGATAAGAAAATCCCAAGGGAAACAAAAACAAAAATTGAAAATACATATATTTGATTTTTGGTTCATCCATTCTCTAAAGGGTTTACTTTATTTTATTTTTCTTTGATTCAGAAAATATTGCCTTGTTAACCTGAGTTCCAGGCATTGTGTTTGAAATAAAATATAAAAGCCAAGAGCCTTAAGGAACATTTTTATTCATTATTATCACACTCCAAATCTACTTTTCTTTCTGGTTCTTTTAAAGTTGTAAGGTAATTCCACAACCTTGAATTTGGCCTTTAGAGGAGTTGAGTTTCTTCATATCAAAGGAAAAACACATTTGCAACATTATATCTGATCTATACTTAAATTTTCCTTTAGACAATCAAAACTAATAATTTCATATATTTAGCCTCCAAGGCTCTGTGTCACAATCATGGTATACATGATTTTTTTGGATACGTTTGGTTCCTAGGAACCATGTGACATTCTCCATAATAGAGACCATAAAGTGGTTATGCTATACATAATAGGATGTTTACCAGCACTCCTGGCATCTACCTAATGCATGCATTAGCATACCTTACCCCCACTTAGGACAATCAAAACATCTCCAGACTGTACCAAATGTCCCTAGCAGGCAAAACCACCTTAGTTAAGGACTAATGGTGGATGCCATATTTGAGATGTTATTCTTCAAGCACATGGAATGGCATCATAAAAAAATCTAAGTTAAATATCACCATCTTTTGATTGGGTTCCTTGATTTTTCTCCAGTCACTTTTCACCCACCATGCAGTTTCCCTCCCTTTCCTAAATCTGCAATTCCATCTCCTGCTTGCCTTTACTCCTCTTTTATAAATTCCAATGAAATAAGATGTGTTTGAATTGAAAATAAGCTATCGTCTTTATCACTTTTCCATTTTTTGTACAAACTCTGGTGAAAAGTCCCTTGATTAAAACAAGATATCATTCTGATATCTATAGGGTCAGAAAAATGAATTTCCTCTTTAACTTTCTATTACCTTCTTCAATCCATTCTCCTTATTCAGGATCTAGACTAGCTTTCCTTTGCAGGTAACATTTTCCAAAATGTAATGGGAAAAAAGTGCTTTTGTTGAGCTTTCCTGCAGGATCAGCAACCCTTCTTCTTTTATCTTCATTATGAAACATAGTAACTACTGGATTTGCAGTTGTTCTGGAAATGTTTCTTCCAAATACAAGCTATCTTTTAAGAACAAGAGAGCCTGTGTGTTTCAGGAGATCCATACTGAACAGTGAATGAACACAGGTTATTTACCTAGCTTGTTTAAGTGCAATTCCAGAAACATTGACTTAGCTGGCCCTAGGCTCCAGCAGTTTCTAAGTCCCTTGAGGACATAAAGTCACACACATACTAGGAAAATATTTAAGTAAACTAGAAACAAACTCGTATGTCACTAATCTTGCCAATGTAGCAATGCAGTTAAAACTGGACTTGTGAGTGTTGTATCAGCAACACCACACCGATAAAGAAACAGAGTTGTGGAGCAGTTTGCACAAGGCAGGATGCTGCTGAAGGGCAAGATCCCGGCCTTTTTATTGATAGAATAATCATACAGCATCCGTTGTGAGGGGAAGGAGGACAAAAAGAAATGGGAGGGGTGAAACTAGAAAATGTGCTCTGTCATCTACAGTGTCATCAGTGGGGGTTGTGAGTCTCCCCTCCAGGCACTTCTCATCTGCTTGATGACTTGGTATTGTAATTGAGATGAAGCCCTATATCCCCAGCCAGGGTTTCAATCTTATCAACAGTGCATTCCACTGATCAACTGCTGGGTCCCTTGTCATACATAGGTCCTCAGCCCTCCAGGGCGTTCTGGGTCATCCCTCTTCATGTGTAAGTCAGGTGTAAGTTTGTGCATGGGTCATCAGCACCCTGCAGCCCTCACTCCCCAAGGCATTCCCAGTCATACCTCATGATGCATAGCCTTCCCAGGGTGATCACGCTTTAAGCTCTTGGTTGATTAGAAAGGCACACTGTAAGGTTTGGCTCCCGTAACTGATTGACTGGGTAGTTCTGACCTTGTATAGGACTGCAGAACAGCAGGTAACAAAAAATGGTGGCGAAACAGGCCATTTAGGATTAGCAGACCCACAGCCATGCAGTTAAAATTGGACTTGTAAGTATTTATGATCTTTATACTTATCTTTGTTCAGGTCGCCCTTCAGCTCCCTGGACTGGACAGATCATTGTCACTGAAGAAGAACCCACAGGTAAAATCTACTGATTGCCCAGATATTGTTGCCAGTGTTTTGACATGGATTTAGCTTTTGTTGTAGAAGGCACAGTGTGTATTATTTAAGATGTTTTGAAAAAGACATTCCATAAAAATGTGCAATTTGTTAAACTATACACACAAAGACACACACCTATGAAACCATCACCACCGTCAAAATGATGTAAATATTAATCATACCGAAAATTTTCTCATGTCCCTTTGTCATGCCTCCCACCCATGTCTTCTGTGACTATAGGCCGTCACTGAGCTGCTTTCTATCACTCTAGTTTGCATTATCAATAAATTTAGATACATGGAATCATATTCACTTGTTTGGATTCCTCTACTCTTCATCGTTTGAGATTTGTCCATATTGATGCACATATCAGTTCATTTCAATTTATTTATTCACTGTTGAAATTTCCTATTGTATGGATCTATGCTTTCATTTTCCTTAGATAAATACATAGAAGTTGAATGGATAGATCCTATGGTAGATGTGTGTTTAATTTTTGAAGAAAATGCCAGTTGTTTTCCCAACTCTTTTTACCACTTTCATTCCCATCAGCAGTATGTGAGAGTTATGGTTGCTCCACACTATCACCCATACTTAGTGTGGTTAGTCTTTTTAACTTTTCCATTCTAATAGGTGCACAGTGGTGTTTGATCCATAGTGGTATTTCAGTGTGGATGTATTGTGGTTTTGATTTACATGTCCATACTAATGTTGAGCATCTTTTCAACTGCTTATTTGTCATTTTTTCATCATATTTGATATCTTTACCAAATTCATGTCTTTACACAGGTTTTTTTTTCCCTAGAAATGCTATAGCATTCCATTTCTAGTAACACTACAGTTCTTACATTTAAATCTGTGATGCATTTCAAATTAATTTTTCTCTATTTTGTGAAGTCAGGGTCTAAGTTTTTTATATGACTATTATTTCAGCAATATATGTTGAAAAGATTATCCATTTACCATTGAACTGTCTTAACACATTGTCAAAATCGATTGATTGCATATTTGTGGGTCTATTTCTGGAATATCTATTGGTCAATTTTATCTTTGTTATGCCATACTGTCGTTTCTATAAGCACTGTGTTGTGGTGGTTGTTTGTTTGAAATAAGCTTCAGAATTTTGAAATCAGGTAGTACATGTCTGCTAATATTGTTTGGATGTAATTTTTTTCCAACAGCTATTTTGGTTATCCTAAGCCTTTCCATATAAATTTTAAAATCAACTTATCAATTTCTACAAAAGTTCTGCTGAGATTTCAGTTGACTATTCTGTCTCCTGAAAGATTTTCTATCTACTTCTATCAATATTGATAAAGTAGTCATGAAATCTCAGACAAAAATGGTGAACTTGTGTACTTCTCACATTTCTGCCAGGTTTTGATCACTTTATTTACCTTACCTGTATACATGGCAACATGCTTGCTTGATTGATTGTTTGGCAATCTACTTTAATATAACCATTCCAGCTTTCTTTATTTTTCTCTTATAAACAATGGAAATTTATTTCTCACAATTTTGGGACCTGAAGTCTGAGATCAGTTGCCTGCATGGTCAGATGAGGAGACCAGCTCTCTTTATATTAGTGTCAGCATACGATTTGTATTTTTTTCCTTTTGACCAGTGTGTGTCTTTATAGTTAAATTGTGTTTCTTGTAGACAGTATGTGTTGGGTTTGCTTTTATGTCTAATCTGGTGATATTTGCCTTTCAGTTGGGGTGTTTTAACCATTACATGTCTTGTGATTTATTGATATATTTGAGGCTAGATTTAAATCTACCATCTTGCTATTTCTTTTCTATCGATCACATCTGTTCTTTACCTTTTTCCTCATTTTTAACTTTCTTTTGGTTTGAAAATTTTCTGTACTGCCCTCTCTTATCTCTACTTCTGGAATTCCAATTACATGCCACTTGAAAGCACAGGTCACTGATGCTATGTTCACGTCTCCTTTCAATCTTTTTTCTTCTGTTTCATTTTAGTTACTTTATGTGGTTGTGTGATTAACTTTACTATCTTTTCTTTTTTAGTGTCTAAGCTGCTGTGAATTCTAGCCAGCGTTTTTTTTTTTTATCTTAGATTTGTAATTTTCATCTCTAGAAGCTCATTTGTATCATTTGTATATTTTCCATGTGTTTAAGAGTGTTGTTCAATCTTTACCCTCTTGAACATATGGAATATATTTATAATGACTGCTTTTATGTTCTTGTCTACTAACTCTTTCATCTGTAACACTTTTGGTTTTGTTTATACTAATCAATTTTTCTTCTCTCTGTAGCTTATATTTTCTTTTTTTTTTCCCAGTTTGAATAATAACTTATTTTTTTTATTAGATAATAAATTTTATTGTTATACTCCCCATACAATTGCAGCGCCCCCATTCTGACCCCAATCCCTCCCCTCCCGCCCCTGCCCCCCCCTAAAAGTGTCTCTGGTTCATAGTTTTTTTGTTGTTTTTGATTTTCACTTTCTTATAGTTATCATTTCCTGATCCCTTATTTAAGTTTTCTAGATTCCTGCTATGAGTGAGACCATCCGGTGTTTTTCTTTTTCTTTTTGGCTTATTTCGCTGAGCATGATCCCTTCCAGTGCCATCCATGTTGCTGCAAATTGCATGTGTTTATCTTTTTTGAATGCTGAGTAATATTCCATGGTATATATGTACCACATCTTCTTGATCCAGTCATCTATTTTTGGGCATTTGGGCTGTTTCCAAAGCTTAGCTATTGTAAACAGTGCTGCTATAAACATAGGGTGCAGGTGTTCTTTGGAATTGATGTTTCTGTGTCCTTTGGGTAAATACCTAGGAGTGGAATTGCTGGATCATATGGAAGCTCTATGTTTAGTAGGTCCAGAAATCTCCACACAGCTTTCCACAGTGGTTGGACCAGTTTGCACTGCCACCAACAGTGCAGAAGAGTTCCTTTTTCTCCACACCCTCGCCAACATTTGTTTTTTTTTTTTTTTTTTTTGAAACAAAGACAGCGTTTTATAACTTTGCATCCCAATACTTAGAACATGTTCAATGCCTGTTTGCTCTTCTGAATGCCTACTTCTGTGGAAATTCTGCTTTTCACTTGCTTGAAGTCTATCTCCCTCAAGTCTTCTCTCTGCCAAAACTCTGCATCTCAGTCCCTTCAAACTACTGGTTGATGTGAAAGTTAACCCACACTGCCCATGCATTATTCCCATTTCTTTATTTTAAAGTTAAACACTAACCACCATTTGACCATTAATCATCATAAGAAACAGCACATGAAAATCACATTAAATGTGTTTTGTAGTGGGCTTTCAAGTTACAGTGTGAGAACAAATTTATCGTAAATAAGATTTAAGGGTGAAGAGTGAAAATCTCTGTCCATTCTTTCTTTACACTGTCCCTGTTTCATTAATATTTCCTAGCCCCTTTAACCTAAAACAGTAATGGATTGAGAAAGCTCAGATCTTCCATCTGTTTTTTTTTTTTGTTTCCATGAAGTTTATTTTTTTTTTTTTAACATAATTTCTTTACTCTCATGATAACTTTTAGCCTCTGAGAGGTAAAGTAGACATGCTTTACTTTACATAGAAAAAAGAGCTTTTGTACATTTACAATTGTTTCACTATTCAGATAGAGTGTGGCCTGGGAAAGTTATACATAGAGTATCAAAATTACAAATTAAACCTCACAGCAAGGTTCACAGAAACTCTTTTCACAGAAGCCCATAGTCATACAAAATTAAGTAAAGATAGTATTTACCTGACTGAATTTTAATATTTAAGACTTATAACTATTGATTACTAATAATAAAATGCATGTATAAGACACACACTTGTGTGTGCAAGCACACACACACACACACACACCCTGTATTCCTATGCCTGTTTATGTAATTGATACTTTTACACTCTTTCAATTTAATACAACACTATGATCTCATTTTGTAAGTGAAGTTCTAAAGTTTTGAAATTTTAAGAAACTTGCTTATGGAAATCTCGAGCCAAGATTTGAACTTAGGTCTTCTGATGCCAATCAAATTTCTCTCTCTATCACATCACATGTTCTTATTAATCCACCACATCATCTTCATTAATTCATTATCAAGCATCTATTATTCTCTGTGCTGGAAACTCCAAGTAATATAAATGAGTGAATAAGTTGCAGTCCCTTTTCAAACGAAGTACTGGGAATTAGAATTAAAGTAGTCATAGACATTATTACTTGACATAGGTACAGTCATAGTGTTATTCCACAGATAGTACCATGTACTATATTCCACAGATAGTACAAATTTGAGTCTTCATAGACAATTCCATTTCTAAGTAGCCATTATATGTATAATCTAGTTATCAAATGGAACCCTTTTGTCTTTGGAAACTGGTTAAACTTGACTTAAATCCATTTCTTAGGTTTAGTAAGAGCTCAGAATCTGCTATACAACTCTTTTTTTTTTTTTTTTAAATATTAAATTCTATTTTTATATTCCCCCATACAATTGCAAACGCCCCATTCTGACCCCAATCTTCCCTCCCGCCCCCCCCCCCCCCCACCCCCCAAAAAGTGTCTCTGGTTCATAGTTTTTTTGTTGATTTTGATTTTCACTTTCTTATATTCATTTTCCTGGTCCCTTATTTAAGTTTTCTAGATTCCTGCTATGAGTGAGACCATCCGGTGTTTTTCTTTTTCTTTTTGGCTTATTTCGCTGAGCATGATCCCTTCCAGTGCCATCCATGTTGCTGCAAATGCATGTGTTATCTTTTTTGAATGAGCTGAGTAATATTCCATGGTATATATGTACCACATCTTCTTGATCCAGTCATATCTTTTTTGGGCATTTGGGCTGTTCCAAAGCTTAGCTATTGTAAACAGTGCTGCTATAAACATAGGAGTGCAGGTGCTCTTTGGAATTGATGTTTCTGTGTCCTTTGGGTAAATACCTAGGAGTGGAATTGCTGGATCATATGAAGCTCTATGTTTAGTAGGTCCAGAAATCTCCACA